AGTGTTCCTGTAACTTGTCAGTTGAGAATCTAGATGGAAGTTTAATTTAATGACTCCATGCAAGTGAACAAGCTTCTCAGCAGATGCAAATTTTCAGTTAAATCTTGTTAATTTGGACTCATATGCTGAATATCTCCAGGCTGATAATATGCACATGTAATGTAGTCTGACTACGCATCTAAAATATAGGCTGACAGGTAGGTAAGCATAAACTCTTAGAAAATATGAAGGGGAAAATTGCATTCAAAGTAGGAACTAACATCATGTGTGTGGTATCTATAAATTAACATTTTGAAAGTATGACAAGTATAAAGAGAAAACAATTAAATAGAACCTTCTGAGGAACATAGGAGTTATAGTGGAGGAGCACATTACTAGACTTTCAGTTTTACTTATGTAAATACATCCATTCATCCTTAACACAATCTACCAAATCAGTGCACACTCAGTAACTGCAATGGTTTGGATGAGGTTTGTTCTCTCAAAATCCATGTCGAAGCTTGGCCTCCAATGCAAAGGTATTAAAAGATGGTGGGCCCTTTGAGATGTGGGGCTGAGTGGGAGAGGACTGAGTCAGGACCACCTGGCGCAGGGATTAATGCAGGTCTTCAGCTGTGGATTAGTTCCCAAGGACAGGTTGTAATAAAAGAGTGAACAGGGCCCCTCCCTTTCCACTTTCTTACTTTCTCTCTTCCCACGTGACACCTCCCACACACTCTGTAGCTTTCTTTTTCCCTAATACATTTATTAGGGAAAAATAATACTGCCATTTATTACAGTTTCATGAAGCTAAAACAAGCCAGAATGGAATCACAGAACTCAGAAGACTGAGGCAAGAGGATCGCAAATTCAAGCCTAGCCTAGGCTACATAGCAAGTTCAGGGTCAGCCTTTCAGTGAGACTCTGTCTCAATGAAACAAAACAACAGAAAAAATAACAAACAAAGAGGAAAACGGAACCAGAATGATGTGTTTATTTAAAAGATTCAGAAGCCTGTGCACTGCACCCTGCAGATATCCCGAAATCCTATCTCTTGTTTCCCTTTAGGAAATAACAGAGTTCCCATTTAGTCTTTGCCTTTTCAGTTGGAAGGGAAACTTCCAATCAAACAAATACAAGGCTGCTGATCACAGTGTCATACCCATGTCTATTACTGAAGAGCTGAGGTAATTATCTCTGAGATTTCGCTATTGGATCTTCCAGTTAGTATGGAAGCATTCCCTTTATTTGTTGTGGCCACCAAGGAAAATGTGATTCTCACTGTTCTGTTTGTTGTTTTATTGCTTGACAACCAATTGCACTTGCTATATTTTTGCTGCAGAATAAGCATACACAACTGATTATCTAAGATGAATCTGCTGGAAAACTGGCTGCAGGAAAATGGAGGGCTATTAAATCATGGTAGAAGCCTTATTCACTGGCTCACCACACTCCTGACCTGTTCTCCTTTCCTTCCTCAGCAGCAGAAGTGCCTGTGACTGGTTTATCTATTCTTCCACACTGAAACTGAAGGGGCTTGGGCAAAGGTGATCCCACCCTAGCTCAGGGGATGAGATCTGGCTGGGAGAATCCAATCAAAGTCTTAGTATCCCTTTGGCCAGATTGGTGTGAGTGAGTGTTCAGAATGAAGCTAATCAAAACTGGATGCTCTTCAGCTAATTGACCTACTCAGTCCAGAGGAACTTCTGCTCTGCGGTGATGAAAGAGATCCTCTCTGTCTTTCTATGATTCTCTGGCTTTCTATTTCAGACAAGGTGAGAATAAGAAAGCATGTTCCCTGGTCACAGCCTGTCCTTGTCTCGTGGGAGGAAGTTAGTCTGGGGACAAGCTGACATTTCAGAACGATCTAGACTGCGCCTGACTGGGGCCTCCTATTTTATTCTATAAGAGTGGAAAAGTTTCTTTATTGGCTAAAGCCAGTTTTATTTGGGGATTCTGTAACTTGCAGCAGAAAACCTCCTAACCCATTCATGTGCATACCATATGTGTACATATGGACCAATACATTTCCCAAGTTTAATTTTTTAAGTTCTTTAGAGTCATCATCTATATACATTAAATCTGTCAACTATCAAACTTCTGCCTCAGGTATTCAACTATGATCAAAGTTAAGGAGTCTAAAAGTCAGCAGAGGCAACTCTACCAATCTTTAGAAGTTTTAAATACTATGATTTTTAACCCATCAGTGAGGTGTAAACTGTATATTCACCTTTGGTGTCCCATTCATTCAACATTTAAAATTTCTTCAGTGTTTCTTGTCACTGTATCAGCTATAGCCTTAAATGTCCTCCCTTGATTCTTTATCCCCCTCCAGCTCTTGGCCCATTTTTCTGTTCCCATTTGCTAAATCATTTCCCAAACCAGTTGTCTAAAAGTTCTGTCTCCTCCTCCACATACCTAGTTCTCTTATCTGCCCTTTCTAACAGATTTCTAATTTCTCTGCCCCACTAAAATGGCTGTTCCCAAGACAGTAGATGTTCTCCATTTTATCAAATCCAGTGACCACCTCTGTTCTTTTCAGAATCAGCCTCCTTCTTTCTTTTCAAAAATGTCTGTTCTCTAAGCTTCCCTAACATTACACATTTCTGTTGGTCTTCCTAATTCATTGGCTAGTCACCATAATTTCATGTGTTTTTCAACTTCAAAATGAGGGATGCCCTCTCTGCTCCACCCTGGTGCTCTTCTCTCCTCCACCTCCACTCTCCCCTGATGTAGTCTTTCTCAGTCCCATGTTTATAATTACCATCAATATGGCTATAATTTCCAGTTTCCTATCTCTGACCCATTTTCTCCATGGAGCTCAAGCTCACACATGCAAATGCCTGCCTGAGATTTCAACTGGAGGCCACAGGTATCTATCATTTAAAATGGCCATGTGAACCCATAATGTGCTTCCCTAAATCCTCCCACAGTGTTTACCATCTAAGAAAATGGCACCATCATATACTTATTAGTCAAAGTACTCTTGCTTACCTACATTGTTTTGGCACTCCCATCAAAACACATCCTCAATTCAGTCACTTATCACCACCTTGTCACCTGTGCCCATCAGCTCCCACCTCAGTGGCTACCTTACTACTTTTGCTGCTTCTATTCTCTCCACCCACAGGTTCTAAGTCCAGAAAGCTGGCAGAATTGCCTTTATAAAACACAAATCAGATCATTTCATTCCTCTGCTTCAAACCTTCCACTGGATTTCCATGGCATTTGGAATAAGACCCATATTCCTTGTTGTGGCTGGAAGGCTGTGTCCAAGGCAGCTTCTGCCCATGCTTCTGGCGTCTTCTTCCACTTTCTCCTTATTCATTATGTCCAAGATGGCCTGGCTTTCCCCCTATTCCTGAAACACTAGCCTCTTTCCCATCTTAGGTTCCTGTACTTACTATTCTTTCTGGTTAGCACATCACCTTTTCACACCCAGACCATACATATCAGGTCTTGGTTCAAATGTTATATTTTCACAGCAAGCTTGCCTGACCACTCAGTCTAAGGTGGCTAGTCACATGCCCTTAGTATCATCTCATAATCCTTACCAGTCCTATCTTCAGCAGAGTTCTGAAGTCCATCTAAAATAACCTTGTTTGTTTTTCTGTGTGTGGTCTGTATTCCCCTGTCCCACTGTAGAATTCTAGAGATCTTGGTTCATTTCAGTACCTGAAACAGTATCTAAATGGCTTCTAGGATAAACTCTCTAAATTTAAGGAATGAAATTATAGTTCATACCTTTGTTGTTCTCCACCTTGACTTATCTGAGAGTTGCCTCTCGTTTCTTGGGGATAACCCCAAGACCAAACCACATCAGGATTGCCCATTAGCTTTCTCCTATGTACCTTCCTGCCCTTTGTCACCTTTGTCCTGGGCCATAGCCACAAAGATCTACATTCCAATGACATACTGTGCCTCACACTTCTTGTCCCCGCCTTTCTGTGTATCATACGTGACTAACCGTTAAAAATCATGGCCCCGTGTTTCCTCTTCACCAAATCAGAGCCAGTAAGTCCAGTATTTCTAGTACATCCCTCTGCTGTGGTTTTGTTCAGACTATAGTGGAATTGTTTTCTTATACTCTTGTCCCCTTTTCTAGACTTATTAAAGGATTAAAGTTTCTTATTCATCTTTCAGCCAGCAACTGGAACTACACAGGTACTCAACAAATGTTTACTAAATTGAACTGAATCATACTAATCCCTTGCCACATAAAACTGTGCACATACCAGCAACTGCTTCCCCAAAAACTAAAGAGTTTTAGTTACAATACTATCTGATCCAGATCTTTAAAAAACACTAAAATAATACTAGCGACACCCACTGAGTATTAACTATGCTATTGATTTTATTTGCATTTTTTATCTCTTAAAAGTTACAAAGACCTAGAAGGATTAGGAACTTTCCCAAAGTCACAAAACTAGTAAGCTCTGTATAAGGAAACCAAACAGAATCTTTAGACCTACCACATCTCTTCTTAAAGCTATTTGCAGGGAAAATACTGATCACCACATAATAGGCATGCTGAGTGGCGGCGGCTTCACTTAGAAAAACAATGTCATTTATCACTCCATCTGCCAGCCAGAGCCTGGTTTCCAGATATACAAAATTTGCTGGTGAAATGATGGAGGGATGAGCCACCCCAGGCCCCAGTCACATCTCATTCTCTTTTTATTTTATTTTTTATTTTATTATTCATATGTGCATACAAGGCTTGGGTCATTTCTCCCCCCTGCCCCCACCCTCTCCCTTACCACCCACTCCACCCCCTCCCTTTCCCCCCCCACCCCCTCAATACCCAGCAGAAACTATTTTGCCCTTATTTCTAATACATCTCATTCTCAGCTCTTTTTAGCACAGGCTTCTGTCCTTCCTCCTGAGCTGATGTGAATAGACTTTCTGTTTCTCTCAACTGAAAGTACCTTGATCAGAAGTCCTCCTCATCCCTGGCAGGTCAAGTTCCTTCAGGAACCAACATCCCAAGATTTGAAGTTGATCGTGGTGCCATTACTTACCTTGGGCATACAGATCACCAGATGCCCCGTTGTCTGAGACCTTTTAGCGGAGCTACTGTCAGGGCGGACTTCTGCTGGAAGGACAAGCTGAAATGGCTGGAAATAAGTAGCAGGTATTGCAAACAAGGTCATGTTACATGACGGGGTCACTTCAAGAGGTATTTTCATTGTAAAGTCATGATACACTGTTCACTGAAGATGTGCTTAGACTTACTATGAAAGAATATATAAGCTATGCTTGGTATGCATGAACTATTTTACCTAATCAATCAACAATCTAAAGAATGGTCACCAATCACACACAGTGAAACACTCATGAGTCTAATTATGGTAGAAAACAGGTAAAACATTAACTTCTGCCCATGTTAATTCCTTCAAGCTAACCCATATGAATGCTCAGAATCATCAAATATACTATTTCAAAACTGATAAAATTAAGAATTTCCATGAATGAAATCATGACAATTTAGAATGGGTATAACCTTATGCAAAGTTCCCACACATAGCTGTGCTATCTGCTTGCTCAAAGTAAAAAACAACAGACACAGGTTTGAAGTATCAATGTTCCTAAGCTATACAATAGTCATCAACCATTCCTACTCCATATGATTCCCATGATATAAAACCAATGAATATAGAGTTTTAAAACCTGTTTAAATCACCATAAGAAGGGGACTAAGGTAGAAAGAAGAAAAATAGAGGAAATGAACCAATTCAGGTTCTAATACATATATACATGGAATGTTTATAAAAGGAAACTCCCTATATAGATGTCTTAAACAAAAATGTCATTTTTTTCTTTTACATAATTGGAAAACAGGAGGGCAGAACAGGTCCTGCCTGGGGTGGGGGGGTGGTAGCAGTGAAAGAGGGGAGGATGTGGGTAAAGGGTGTAGGTAGGAGGGTGAATATGGTGCAAATATTGTGTATTCATGTATGTAAATGGAAAAATGAGACCTCTTGAAACTATTGCAGGAATGGGGGAAAGGGGATAAAGGAGAATGATGGAGGAGTGAATTCAACTATGATATATTTGATATATTGTAAGAACTTTTGTAAATGCCACAATGTATCCCCAACACAATAAAAAATGGAAAGAGAAATAAATAAAATGCTCTGATTCAGTTTCTATTTTTCTATTTTACTAATATTAAAAAATTATTTTGAGGCTACAGTTTAGTCTGAGACTCAGCTTTTAAAACTCTTGGTCTACAGGGCTATTCTTACCTTTCCTTTGACCATTACTCGGACATAAGTTGGCTGCACGTCAACCTCGATCAAAGAGGTGTCCATATACCTTCAAAATTAAGCATACCAAATCTTACAATTTTCAAAAACATTAAATTTAAATAAGCAAAAATACAAATTCATACATACAGGGGCATTTTAGTTGAAGAAGTTTAAAATTTCCATGCTAAATAGGTCTTAAAAATTAGTCTCAAATCAAACCAAGTCCAGAGGAAATTTAACATCAGCAATTTCATTTTTAGACCTACAAGTGCAGTCAGCATTGATTGCCCCTAGCCCAAAAATATCTGAGGTCTGAAACACCAAAGGTTTGCAAAAAAAAAAAAAAAACAGCTTGCCATGTTTTTCCATGAATATTTTATTTTAAGCCCCTAGGATTTGAATAGGCAGGATGCTGAATTCACTGCGAATGGTGCCCAAGCCACCAGCTCCTGCCTGCTCAGGCCTCTGCCTGGCCTGCAGCTGTTCAGTGGCTAGGCTGGGACCAGCTCTCCTCTCCTGGGAGAGGGGCAGCTTCTGCCCTTGAGGGCAGGTGCTGCAAGCAAACACCACAGGGACCCCAAGGTCAGGTGGCCATTATTCTCCTTGTCTCTTGAGCAAATGGAAGATTTACATTTCACATCACTCATTAAAAAAAGTTTAGCTAAATAATTTTTTGTATACATTTGAAGATACTCATTGTGAACTTTAGGAAATATAGCAATGATTCAAAAATCACAAGTGTTCAAGTGGGAAAGTTAACTTAGGGATCACAGGTACAAGTGGTGAGATGCAGACATGAGCAATCACTGTCCTGTGTCCTGCTTCTTTACCTCACACTGTGTGCTTACCCCTCGGAGCCTCCACTTCTTCGTCTGGGCAGGAACAACACAAATAATGCTTACTCCTAAAAACTGATTGCTAGAAAGCACATTCATAGTGCCTGGGATACGGGTAATGTTAACAAAGTAGTAGTGTATGTTATTTAAATTAAAAAATTCATGATAGCAAAAATAGACACAAGGTTTCTTCAACCTCATGTGTAATATTTACCACTTTAAGGCATTGCATATTCTTTCCCATTGCTTCACGGATCCTACTGTGTTCACCTATTCCTTCTGCATGGCCTTTCACTGCCTGAAGTCACCTCTGCCAGTTCTCTGCAGGGTTCTTACCATTCAATTTCCATTGTGTATGTCGCCAACTTTTCCTGAGCCCCCACTGCCAGCCACCAGACCTTCCCCCAAGACGCTGCTAGTCTTACCCCTGAACACTGCCCCTTTCCTTCACAGCACCCTTCTCCCTTTGTCATTGGCCCTGCCCCCAACCCTGTGAGCTGTAAGCTATAGGACAGACATGACTGTACCTTCCCCATGCCTAGTACATGGTAGTAATTCCATAGATATTTGTTGAATAAAGGCATACATGGATGAATGTGTTTAATGTCACATGTATTCTCACAAACCATCAAAAAATAACAAGGAGTTTCAGTGCAATTCATTCCACAGATTGAAGGACGGGGAAAGAGGGCTCTTTCTATGGCCTGTCTCCAATCTTATACAAGGAGGTGAAGAAAGTCTCTGACTAGGAAGCAGCCAACAGAGCTAAAAATAGCAAGGATTCATGAAACTCCAGAAATTAGGCCCCCAAATGGAAAGGACCTAAAAGCATGAGATAGCAGGGGCTGGAGGTGTGGCTCAAGTATAGAGTCCCTGGCTAGCAGGCATGAGGCCCTCAGTTTAAAACCTGAGTTACCACCAAAAGGATGAGAAAGCAAATGTTTAACTGAAGGACAACAGAAATGCAGCTGGAGAGCTGCAGGAAATGAGGACATAAAGTCAGGGGAGAAAAAGCTGAAAACTCATTTAAAAAGCAGGTGACAGGCAAAAAGTGGGCAGAAGATGGAAAGGAGGAGTGGAGAGAGGTGTGAAGAAGAAGGGACCAGACTAGGACTAGCTCCCACTCACAACAGGAAGAGGTGAAAACAAAACAAATATCTGTCAGTTGATTAGGAAGTAAGAAATATGTAGTATATCCATACAATAGAATATTATGCAGCCATAAAAAAGAAAGAAATTTTGACACATGCCACAACATGGACCAGCCTTGAAGACATTATGGTAAGTAAAAGAAGTCAGACACAAAGGCCACACATATTGTATGATTCCTTTTATATGAAATATTCAGAATAGACAAAGCTATGGAAATGAAAAGTTGGTTAGAGTTTGCCACAGAGAGATGAATTTTTTCTGGAACTAGACAGCACTAATGGTTACATGACTGTGTGAATTTACTAAACGCCACTGACTTGTATATACACTTGAAATGGCTGGAATGGTGGATTTTAAGTTATGTGTATGTTCCACAATTCAAAAAGCAAAGTTGGGCAAAGACCAAAGGCTTATGCTGCGGTTCCCCCAGTTACTGTTTACAGAACTCCACCTTGAAAATTTCCCCCTCTTGGGTATTTCAGTTCAACAGTCACAACAAAGTTCCTGCCTTGACCTGAAATTTAAAATTTCTTTTTTAAAAGCACGAGAAACTTTATATCGTCAGAAGAAACCAAAAGTGGGAAGGGAGTGCCCAGGCGGGGCAGGCCCTGTTTTATGGGGTGCAGTTCTCGCTTACAAGGTAATGTCTGATCAGAGGCTGAAGAGAGCGAGGCCACAGCCACCAGTACACCATGCAGTGACCCCTGTGTTGACAAGTGTGTTGGCTCTGAGTCAAGCTCCCACCATTAAGCAACAAGGACGGCGACCTGATTGTCTTCATATGACTGCCACGGGAAGGATGGAAGCTGACACTGGTGGAGGGCTGAGTGGCAAAGCTGTGGACACATGGGAGAGAGTGCAATGGGGTGATGAGAGGCAAGCAGCCACCTTGGTCTCTCCGCCCATGGGAATAGAGTGGGTGAGAACCTGTCACAGGTGAGAGCATGCGGCAGGAGTGCCCCTGGCAGTCAAGAGGCAGTGAGTGCAGCCCCGGTGTTTAAGATGGACAAGGGAAGAGGGGTGATCAGCCCTCCTCTTGTTGTGGCTTCCAATGCCAAAGCATTTGAAAGACAAAGAGGACTAGCCACACAAAACATAGCAACCAGTCATAAAAGCAGAGAGGTCCATGCAGAATCACCGTCAGCAAAGGCAAAGTTGAGTCATAAGCCTGTTGTTCCAGAGGTCATGGCCATGGACTGTGGGTTTGTTCAGTTTTCCTTTCATTTTTTGTGCTTTTAAAAATGACAGCAATTTCTCTGGCTTAGAAATGGTCATGTTCATGCGTGGGCAAAACCAAATTCCACTTCACGTGTTTCAGAATTCAAGATGGCCACCCAGAATGAGAACTAGCACGCTGGGTATGCTGGCATATGCCTGTAATCTCAGCACTTGGGAGGCTAAGGCAGGAGAAAAGTAAGTTCCACAACAGCCTGGGCTACATAGCAAGACCCTGTCTTGAAAAAAATGATATTAAAAATAAACCAGTAACAGCAACAGTAAAAGAATTGAAGGAAATGCCGCTTAAGAAATGAACAGTAAAATATCCTAACCTGTAGACAGCCAGGTCCAGGACGAGCTGGTTACGTTTTTCATCATCTTTCAAAGAGAAGTCAAGTCTGAAAATAACACACGGGGTGGGGGAGACATTGTCCTTAGGATGCTGTGCGGATGACCTCTTCACACAATCAAAAGTCGACCTGATAATAATCACGACAAACTTACTCTGGTAGTTAGAAAAATATCTTTGCTAATTTTAAAATTTCAGCAGAAATCTGCAACATATCAATTACTTATTACATTGTTGGTGTGAGACTCTTAAGGCCAAGGACATTCAAGCCATCACTTTGGTGCAGAGACAGGGACATCTGGTGGCTGAAGTTTTCTTTCTATTTCACTAGAGTTTGCTAGAACCCAGCAAAACACTGGAGTTACATACAGAGGCTGAAAAGTTCCATTTGCCTATTCCTTAACTTTTACCAGAGCTGCCTGCCTTCCTCTCCTTGCTATCTTTTCTCCTTCCACTGTTGCCCTTCCCACTGCCCTGCAAAAGGCTGAGACACAGCCAGTGATTTATGATGCCTATTTTATAGATGACGAAACTGAGGTTTAGAGGGGTGAGCATAGCTGCGGAAGAGGCAGAGGGGTCTGGAAAGGCAGGGTTCAAAGCCTTGCATCTTCCAGCTGAACTTTGAGGTCAAGTTCTAAATATAGTTTCCACACCGTCAATATAGGACTCAGTCACTTGGTCAGTTTTCTTTTGAGCACCTCACTTATTTTACTGCAATAGATGAAAACCATTGACATCAAAGAACATTGGCTGAATTGTTGAGGAAGGCAAGGCCAGCTCTAGATTTGGCTGTCAGCAGTGATCTACTGTGGCAGGTTCTCTCATTGCTCTCCAAATCTAGCCATGGGGCCTTCTAGTATCTCAAATGACCCATGCATTCTTCATCTCATCTCAGGAGCCTTCTTGACTGCCATCTGTCTGTCTTGATTATTTATTCCCCATTTCCCCATCAACTTGAACCCTCTCTCCTTACATCTCTGGAAGCTAATCTCAGAGAGGCCATCCGTGGTAAAGATTGCTATTCATTCCCTATTATCTGTTTTCCCTTTATCCTTGGCCATGAAGAATAAAGACTTCATTTCCAGCCTCCCTCTCACCTAGGTGAGGTCATGTGATTTCATTCTGTAAAGGACAGTGTTCTATGGTGCTTTCCAGAAATTTCCCTTAAGAAATGGCATTTATGCCCTTTCCTGCTTGCCTTCATCGTTTAGCTAAGAACAGACAGTAGGAAGCCAACAGATCAACTATGGGGACTACTTAGCAAGTTATTGCAATTGTGCAGGCAAGAGCTAGTGAGTAGCTGGAGCCTGGTAACCCTGAAGGAAAAGCTCATGGGGCTCACTTATAAAATGAGAGAAGAATGAAAGACAAACAAAAGGTTTTGGTCTTAGAAAATGGGTTAATCCTGTCACTGACATGGATGCTATAGGGGACAAGCACATTATGATGGAGAGTGGCAGTGGGGTAGAAATCAGGGGTTGTGTTTTAGACACTTGTGATCATCATTTTATACCAGCATAGTGATGTCATGTCACTTAGCTAGCTGAACATGGCCGTGAGCCAAGTGAAGACAGCGGTCAACGTCGTGAGACTCGTGAGATCATCTGAGTGAAGGTAAGGAGAAAAGACAGCTGAGCAGTTTGCTCCACAATACCTAGGAGACAAGGCAGAAAGCATCTAGTCAAGCATAAGGGAATAGTCAGTAAGGAACAGAAAATTCAGAAGCAAAGGAAAGACACTGATTTAAGAAGTAAGGAATTTAACACACAATTACATCCAAAGTCTCTAGATCTTGTAAGGCCGATACCTGGGATGCCCACTGGGATGATGGTACTAAAGAAGTTTCCAGATGACAGACACAGAGTGGCTTCAAGAAGAAACATGAGTGAAGGGGAGTGGTGAGTATAATCAAAAGACTTCATATTTCATGTATGAAGATAAAATAATTAAACCATTAAGATGGCTTAAAAAGGGGGTAAGGGGAATAAGAAAGTAGGAGGGTGAATTTGAACAAAGTACTTGCTATATGTGTATGGAAATATCACCAAGAAATTCGTTTTTACAATTAATAAATGCTAACAGAAGAGACAGAGACAAGAAAAAGGAGAAAAGAAGAAGGAGGAAGAGGAGGAGTAAGGAGAAGAAGAAGAAGAGGAGGAAGAAGAAGTGGTTCAGACCAACAATAGGAGAAAGTAAGAAAACACAGATGGCATGAGAAATTGGAGACTGATGGACAAACTTGCTGAGACATTAAGGATTGCATGGGGCAGAGAAATAGACCTGGGGCTGGATGGGAAGTGGGAAAGAGAGGCCTTTGTTTTGGTTTTTAAAATGGAAGTTATTAAATTTTGTTTGTATGCTAGTGCCATTGACTCAGCATAGTGTAGACAACTGATGCAGGAGAGCAGGGGTCACTAGGAAGCCAAGAGCCTGACAAGAAGAGGGGCTGCTATCAAAAAGCCATCAGAGACTGACTTCTGACAGCAAGTTCGTCCATCACAGCAGGAAGGAGACATATGTGTTACAGCAATGAGAGGAAGAGAAAATGTCTGGTTGCTTGTGCTTCCTCAATGAAAGAAGAATGAAAGTCCTTAGTTAAGATGGTGGAAGTGGAAGTGGAGCTGGGATAAGGAGAAGAAAGTGGTGTGAAAGCAGCCTGTAGGTGGGTGGAGAAAGTATGCCCAGGCAAGCACAGAAGGCTACAGCCCACTTGAGACCTGCTGCCAAGCATTTACAGTAAAGGCAGCAGGTACTGGCGGATGGCTCCCTCCAGCCACATGAGGGCAAGCCCAGAAGGGGGTGGCATGTTGGATTAAATAGTGTCAGGATGATGGAAGGAGGAAAGGACAATAGAGCTGAAGATGCGCCAAGGACAAATTTCTGTGTGGACCCATAAAAACAAAGCAGGGGGAGAAAAGGTGAGGTAATGCAAGGTGGGGACAACAAGACAAACTGTAAAGTGAATAGACTCATGTGCAACTGGGGTTGGGACTGGTGGGGTGTGGTGAGTTCTGGGCACACAGGGGATGGTGCTTAGGAGACACTAATATTCAGGAGGTGGAAGAGATACTGATGGTGGCAAATCAAGGAATCTAAGACCGAATTGCATGGCTGAGCTGAGGGGAAGAAAAAGATGAGGGAGAGGCAGAGAAAGATGGTGGGCTGGGTGCTAGAACCTTCCATGACTGAGAAGGAGGAGGGCTGAGGGCTGATCAGGTGAAGCAGATGATAAGAAGAAGGGCTAGTCCATCTGGAGGGCCTGTGCCTTGGCAGAGCTGGGAAATTTGGGAGAAAAGGAAGAAAGACAGTCACAAGTTGCTCACCTTCTGAAGAACAGGGCAGCAGTGGAGTCCTACTTAAAGAATGGAGATAAAGGTACTGAGAGAGAGGTGAGGATACAGACCTATTGGTGAAACAGGAGCTCCATATGACATAGGAGGAGTAGAGTTGGGGAGAAGAAAGTGAGTTGAGTTATAACTGTGTGGGAATAAGATTCTGGATGAGGATGACTTGGGAAGGAAAGGAAAGGTAGCCATAGTAGGAAGAGACAGGGAGTAATTGGTTCTTCACAGTATCTTAAGGGAAGTGGTTTTAAGAGAATGTAGGGTAGTCAGTGTGGTGAGAAGAATGGTGGTCTTACCAGGGATGTGTGGTTCTCTGGAAGTCTCCCTCTTGCCCTGTTGAGCTACCCTTCCCACTAGATTTTCAAGCCATGAAGCTGGCTCCTATCACATTAGCTACTATATACCCAGTGCTTGGCCTAGCGTCTGGTGCTATACTTCTATATCTGCTGTTGGAGAGAGACTTGATCATAGCAGTCACTAGAACTGGGTTAACATGGGCAAGTCAGACACATCACTTGACTGCTGTGCGACCTTGGGCAAGTCACTTCCCCTCTGAGGCTCAAGTTTTGGACCTGTGCAAAATGAATCCTGCCTACCACCTGTGACTGATGTGAAGCTGAAGGATGCCTGGAAATGATTCTAGACAGTGCCTTTGTCATGTTGATGACATAGCAAGTGAAATGATGGGAACAAACAGGTTTTCACCAATGAAAGGAAGTGAATGAGATGTGGCCCATAGTCTTGTCGGTCTGTATTTAGGGTACAAAAGGCCTTTTTGGCCTGTTTTGTAATTTCCCACTTTAAGACAGATAGAGTGGATCAGATATTATTGGACTTGAGGATTTCCAGTCTGAATATTTTCCTCTCTGATTAACTTCAAATGCTCTGTAGCTGTGTTCCAGAGTAGAATACAGATATAGAGGAGATATCTCTGTACTCTCAGCCTGCTTGTTTACACTAGTTTTAAAAATTCATAAACACAAAAATAAAGCAGTGGCAATTTTCAGGCAAAAATTATATATGGTCCAAAGATTCATGGGAGACATAAATAACTAAGATTTCCATATGTCAGGATCATTTTCTAGAAGCCAAGGAAATTATGAGTTGAGAACGTCGTAGACACTTGGCTTGTAAATATGCACAGCGTGGCATGGCTGTCAGACCTGTCAAACTCTTTGGGAGTGGTCAGTCTATCTTGCAGAGCGAGCATGACATTGAAAGGACAGTACCAAGCAGCACACTGGGGCTGGCCCTCCATAGCTCCATGTGGGCTCCCACACTTACTTGGGCTCATTGACATTTAGGGCCTTTCCATGTTCAGTGACCAAAGTCCGGGGTGGCCTCACATTCTTCTTTTTTTCACTTAAGATGGGGTGGAGGGACACAGTGCAGTGGGAAGCGAAAAATAAACACAGTCAATATAAAATAATTAATATATTTTTGTGAGACAGAAAAATTAATCAGAATTTGTGACAATACCAACAACGCACTTATGAATTCAATTCCTTTAATTCTACACTGGAAATTAAAAATCAAGCCAATTTTTTTATGTGCTTGCTTCAATATCTATAAAGCAAAAATGTGACCAAGACAATTTGCCAGATGATTTGAATGGGGGAAGCAAACTCCTTTTCATGAAATACCCATGAGTATTTAAATGAGTCTATTTTATGCATGATTTACACAGATAACTGTCAATTCTCCATTTGTGTATAGAGCTTCTGCTTTAGTTAAAATTATAATTTCTGAAATACCAAGGAGAATGTATTCTGTAGAAATAAAAATACCAGTACATAAAGACCTATGTTCAAAGATATTTCTCACAGAATGATTATGTCCACTATTGTATACTCATGCTATGAAATGTCTTATGGCTTCTGAAAGTGTGCTTGATCTAGAAAGTGTTGATCATATATTTAGTAAGCACAAATATGTCCAGGTGCCAGTGGCTCAGGCCTGTTATCCTAGCTACACAGGAGCCACAGATCAGGAGGATCGTGGTTTGAACCCAGCATGACTCTATCTCAAAAAAAAAACATCAAAAAAAAGGGGTGGTGGAGTGGCTCAAGGTGTGGGCCATGAGTTCAAACCCCAGTACCTCAAAAAAAAAATAAGGAAAAGAACAAAAAACAAATATGTAAGTCCCTTTTTTTTTTATGATGCTGGAGAACAAATTGAGATCTCCAGGACTGCTAGGCAAGCACTCTAACACTGAGGTTTATCCCCAGCCCACATTTAAAAAACAAACAAACACACACACATACACATAAACCCTACATGTGCTGAGATAACTTACACAATTAGATTAATTTTTTATGGCAGCACTGTAGTTTGAACTCAGGGTCTTATGTTTGCAGGACAGGTGCTCTTACACCTTGAGCCACTCTTCCAGCCCTTTTTTGGATGGGTTTTTTCAAGACAGGGTCTCATGAAATTATTTGCCTGAGGCTGGTTTGGAGCCACTCCTCCTGACCTCTACTGCCTGAGCAGCTAGGATTACAGGTATGAGCCACTGGGACCCAGCTGACTTACACAATTATAGAGGAGGAAGCCAGCCACCCTAATTACACAGAACGTCAGAAAAGGAGCTGTATCAGATAATGCGAAATGAAAGTTTACACATGATTGCTACCTAACACATGACTGAAAATCTTTTCAAAGATTTAGTTGGCATAAATGGACATAATTTAAAAGGTGAGGTGCACAAATGTGTTTGGATGATTTAATTACTGTGTGCCTTGAATTTCTAGCATCCTTTTAATAGAGATTTGGTGGCAATTAATTATTTTTAAAATTTATTTTCTGTATCTTTTTATTCTTTATTTGGTTGATCAGATGTTTTGGGGACAGAGTCTTACTATATAGTTCAAGCTGGCCTCATACTTGAGATCATCCTGCCTCAGTCTCCCAGAGTGCTGGGATTACAAGTATGCACCACCATGCCCGAATTTCTTCTGCATCTTTTAAAGTGGGTCTCCTCATTCAATTAAATGACTTCATTGACTCAGCACAAAAATTAAGGGGCATTTAGAAATATGTGGCTTCACTTACTCAGTGTGATTAAGAAGAACCCAGTTAGGAAGAGAGACTGGCTCTTGTCCCTGCTTTCCCCAGCTAATAAAAATCTCAAGGACCCCACCAGACTGAGCACACTAGAGCACACTGTGTTAGCAGTGCAACTTAAGACTTCCTTCCAGCTCAGCCTTACTTTTTTAGCTATCAGAAAAAAAATTCTCCTGGCTTCAGGCTTAATACTATACGGATTATCGATTCCTCATACATATATGTATGTAAATATAATATGTGTGTCCATATATGTGTATGTATGGGTATATATGGTAGAGAAACTACATATTCTGTAAACACAGGATTTCCCTTTCAAAGGGCTCTCTTTCATATCACTATAGCAGGGTAGTAAAACCATATTGGGGTTGATAATCCTTACTCAGCAAATACTTAAACAGAGGAGGAGAGGTTAGGTACCTGCCATCACCACATAGAGAACACATGATAGGGTCAAGACAAGAATGTTAGCTTTCTTTCTTTCTTTTTTTTTTTTGAGGTACTGGGGCTTAAATTCAGGGCATCTTGGTTGCTAGGCAGGCACTCTACCATTTGAGCTACTCCACCAGCTGCTTTCTGTTGTTACTCCAGTGTTCTTTTCAAAGCAATGGTGGCCTCTTCATGAAGGAACCACCATGTTTTACAAGCAAGTATTTTAGGTAAAAGTTGATTCTCACTGTCATACTTCTCTGTCTTTCTAATTAATAAAGGAAATTTGATGAAAGCAGTGGAGATTTCTAATAGTCTTTCTACTCTTAGTTTCCTGCTTTTAGTTGACAACCATAGAGAGATATGTCAAGCTTAATTCACCTCATTGCCATGCAGATCACTGCATTTCAGAGTAACTGATCACACTCTTGAGCTCATAAATTACAGGCACTCTCTTAAGTGATATATTTTACTTATCAGTCTCAAGCAGTGACACAAAATGCAATGTCATAGAGTCTATCTTTGAAAGGATTGCTCTGAAAATAATAGCTTAAGTATCCTAGCTTCTACAAGTCATTGACCTATATCTAAACATTTCCAAAGTAACATCAGACTATTAAATGTCCAAGAAAGTTATATTAAAAAATATTTAATAAAACTAATTTTAATGCTTCATTTTGAAAAGACTCCAAGGAGTCTTTGTACCATAATAACTACTGTTTCTAGATGAGGCCATATTGTTAAATATATGTAAAATGGTAAAAAGTTAAAGACATACAAACAAAACCCTGCCTGAGATGTCATAATTCATGATGTTCTAAAGAAGGTAATTTGATATTAGTGAATGTTAGCCAATCATAATTAAATAAACAGCTGTATTGAGAAAAAGCAAAATTGGGGCTGGGTTTGGTGATGCACATCTGTCATCCTAGCTACTGGGAGGCATGGGTAAGAGGATCTGGGTCTAAGTCAATCCTGTACAAAAACACAAGACCCTATCCAAAAAATAACTAAAGCAAGACAGGGCTGGGGCAGTGGCTCAAGTGGTGAGTTCCTACCTAGCAAGCACAGGACCTAAACTCAAACCCTAATACTGCCAAAAAAAAAGCAAAACCTATGTGGGATGACTGACAAAGGTTCAATACAGATAATAGGTAAAAATGATATGTGTATGAAAAATGATCTTTTCTATCAAAGTATTTGTTACCCTCTTAGATTACTTAAAAATTTCTCAGGTTGCCATCTTAGGTGACTTGCATGTTTAATTAAAGAGTCCTTACTTCTTCTTCCTGATTCCTGTACAACTCCATTGCCCACCAAACTGTATGCCCTAACCCATCCCTCAAGCCTTTTAGCCAGTCGAGGGAGACTGTGAACCTTGACCTGGACAAATCCCAGGTGAGGGGCAGGTACTTCTGCATCAGGGATATAAGGAGGAACCACTGTCAGCCATTTTGTGCTTGTATGTTTGCTTAGTGGGAGTGAGCACATGCTTGCACCCTCTTAATCAAGAGAAATTGCCTTGTCAAGATTTTCTGTCTCTTGTGTGTCTGGTTTTGGCACTGGAGGGTTATTAATTCCAACATGTGCAATTATGAAAAAAGAGTGCTGCTTCACTCTCATTGACAGGAAAAACAGAATACCTTAATTTTTCTTCGGCTTTCCTTTGTTTTTCCACATGTCTGAGAGTTTCCAATCTAGATTCAGGAGTAAACAAAGAGGGCTTGTTCCAGAAAGCCAGGTCATCATCACATGCATCTAATTTGTCTGTTTTGTGTTCTGCTTGTATTTCTGGTGCCTGGAGGTGGTTTTTGCTCTCAGTAGAAAATGACCTATGAAGAACAAATTGACACAGAGCATGTAAGCCAAGAATGGATACAGGAATTTCATCTTTAAGGTTGCCCCTTAAATATCTTATGCTTTTCTTATATTAACTTTTCACCTTTGAATGACAAATAGCTCTGGCAGTCTATCCAAGCTAATTTGGAGGAAATTACTGCTCAAAATGCTGGGGCAGTTCCTCATCCTCTCATCAAAATACTGAGCATCTAGTTTGAGGGCACATAGGCATAGCTAATATGAGTTACCTGGGAGCTTCATAAAAAGTAAAGATTCCTGGACTCCCATCGGAGTCTACTCACAGTTGGTCAGGGTCAGGGCTCAGGCCTCCTTACAGTATTGTGCAGGAAGTTCTAATCAGGAGGATCAGGCAAGCATGGAGACCACTAAGCCTCAGTAATCACCCCACCTCTAGATCTGTTCCAACAATTCCAATCTCTGTGCTGCCCCTGCCAATGTTTGATCATGTTATTTCCAGGTTCCTTCATGATATTTTACCTCCAAAATGCTCTTGTGTGACACCCGAAATCTTCTACTTCATGGTAATAACCTCTACTTTATCTTTCATGGTTAATGTCTGATTACGTAGCTTTATATGGTAATGGTTCTCTGTTTTCTCTTTTATCCAATCTTGTGCATTGTCAATATATAATATAAATATTATATGAGACATTCAACAATTTGTTTGACATGAATTCAAGAAATAGTTATTGAGCATTGTTTATGTGCCAAGCACCAGACAGACCAGGCTACTACTTTCAGAAGATGATTCTATTCTAATAGAGAGAAAATTAGATCATATAAGCAATAAACACTAGGTATGGTCTCTCTCCCCTCATCTCTGCCCAGAATATACACTCTATTAGAAAATGATATTAAGTGAAAAAGTTATGTGATATCTTTAACACCAAGTTTATTAAATACTAATTGCTTAGTGAACATTACATTTTGTTGGTGCTACTGAAACAAGATTACATAAAAGGCTTATTTAGTTGATATTCATGTAAGATGTTTTTGAAAGGGATAGAAAAAAAATACTATAACCTGATATTCAAATGGTATAAATAGAATATAGGACAAAATTCAAAATTCTGCTTAGATTCTTTACACATTATCAAGTACAGCTAAATATTTTAATAAGCAAAATAATGCAAATTACTGAAAGAAAATGCTTTGCCATGCACCTGTAATTCTTTAAGGTACTGAAAAATCAATCTATGAAGTATATCTGTAATTTTCCACCATGTTCTAGCTAATTGCCACTGACATAATTGGTTCCATTCTTTTTAAAATTTTTTCCTGGAAAGGGACTAATTGGTTTACTTTTACCTTTTGCAACTTAATGTAGTAGTAAAAAAATAAAATAACTGTACTTAAGAAAAACTGTCAAAATTATCAACTAAGCAATATAAGATTCTAAAGACAAAATACATGTAATTGTATTAAGATGGTTAATGAAACAGAGTGAAATTATTAGGATACAAACAAAAAGAAAATCCTTTTGATCGCTGCCTTCAAATCTATTCTCTCAGAACCTTCTTTCTGGCCATAAGCAGATCCTATAATCCTACAGGCACTTCTATGAACAATTTCATCTCACCAAAACTCAATTCCAGAATTTAAATGATCTATAGTTTAAATAAAACTTTAGACTTATGTCCAAGTGTAAGCCTTTCCCTCTGACTTCAAGCTCATCTATCTTTTGGCCCAGCTCAAGATTGAACTGTGCCTGAGAAAGGCACATGGTCAACCCTGCCACTCATGACTTATTTGTTCCTCCCCCAAACCCCTCTCCTTAGGCTTCTTTAGGTCCCCTGACTTCAAGGTTTGCCTGGTGCCACGGATGTGAAAGGAAGTGACCATCTCTCATGTGACCACTGCTGCTGTACACAGGCTTCTCTTTTGGTGAGCACCTTTGTCATTCTCAGAGACACTACAAGAGTCCTCCAAGCACATTGTTCCCTGTTGAGGTGGTCAATAATTGGCTTGTCCTTTTAAAACAATCCTCTGCTTCTACCCCACAGTCGCTTATTGCTGCCATCTTCTTGGACAGTGCTCCTTCAGATGACTTAAACCTGGCTCATTCTACTGTAACATGTACTTGGCAAATGGGATAATCACAGATCCTTGCTATGTGAAATCATTATAATATAAGCATTTTCATTAATGCTCTCTTTCCTGATCCTGCTTCAAGCTGCTCCAGTTCACTTCCCATTTTTTCCTTTCTCCAGGTTGGAAACAATCTATCTAGTTCAGAGGTGAGAGCTCATCTCCATTTCTTGTAGCCTGTCAATCTCTGGGATGTTTCTTCTCAAAGCCTTGGAAGTGGAGGTAGTCCCATACTCCTCCCCAGCCAAGTCAATGACTTAGTTCAATGGCTTAAGAGTGTCTAGGCTTCTGTGTATACTAGCTAGATGGGGTGACAGTGGTGATGGCTGAAAGACCAGTCAGACCTGTGGGGGAAACAAAGTTGGCACCTGCGAGAAACCCAACTGCAAACTTCTACTGAAATGCAAGGAATGAATGTGTTCAACATCTATGGTAAACTTTTATAAGCCAAGAATAGCAAATAATCCCCAATACATTCATTATCTAAATGCCTATTATAAACTTGATAAAAAAAACGCCAGGGAAAAACACAGCTGAAAAGGATACTATAGCATAAACTCACTTATGAATAGAGGTTTAAGCATTATAAATAAGATATTAATAAAATGAATGCAGTGATTCATTGGTGAATATACCAAAGATGAAGTGGATTTAGTCCAGAACTTTGAGGATGGTTTAATGTTAGAAAAAAATCTATTAATGTGATTCAATACCTTAGTAGAAAAACAAGGTTATATTAGTAGATGCAGGAAAAGCATTTAATAAAATGTGTTGATTAAAGGAAACTGACTCAACTTTAATAAAATTCCATGGCAAACCTTATGATAATGGTGAGGAATTGAACCACTCCCATCACTACAGTCTCATCCATATCAGAGGCCTTCACATAAAGAAAAAAGTGGAAGCAGAAGGATTGGAACAATTTTTTAAAGTTGCTCTTTATAAACACTGTGTTTTTAATCTAGAAAACACAGAATAATCTACCCATTAAATATTGCATATTTAAGAAACATCACAAGAACCAATTACATGTTTATTTTTAAAAATCCCATTCTACAATATTCTTAGGAAGAAATTCAATGAAAGAGGAAGTAAAAGCTTTTATAGAGAAACTAAAAACCTATTGAAGAACTCAGAAAAGAATCTATACAGAGAACTATTCCAAAGTTTAGCAAGAAAAGAACTGATGTCATGAAGATATTTCCCCCAAATTAACATATAAACTAAGGGCAATTTCAAAACAAAAAAATTCCACTAGGAAATTTTCAGGTAATTTGATCAGTGGACTCTAAAATTCATACATAACAGTAAAGAATTAAGGATAGCCAAGGTGATTTTGAAAAATGAAAATACCTCAGACCAAATACCAAGATTTACTATAAATTTATAGACATAAAGCCAGATGGAGGCGCTCCAATGCATCAGTTGAGGGAACCGAGAAATGGACCCATGAATATTTGATTAGAAGATTTATGGTAAGGGCAGCACTTCAGATCAGTGGAGAAAGAATGGGACCTTAATAAGTGGCACAGAGACAACGAACTGCCCACTTGGAAAACAACAGTACCCTGTCCTATGTCACTGAGAAAAGCTAATTCCACATAGAGAGATATGATGCTGCAGTAATGAAGAGTTTCATAAACAAGACAAAAAGTAAAAAATAAGTAGCTTAGCTACATTCTTATTTTTTTAATTCTATAAAAATGGAAGCACTTATAATTACAGACATGTCACATCCTGGGAGAAGATATTTATAAAATATATAAAACCACCAAATAATTTGTATCCAGAAGAACTATAAATCAGTAAGAAAAAAACTTATAACTTATGTAAAATAAACAGAGAGAGGACCTTAATAGAGGAATTCTGAATAATCAATAAATATGAAATAATATATTTAAGATACTCAAACTCACTTCAACTTATACAAATGAAAACTAAAATTAGGTGCCATTTAATAGCAAACTTGGTTAGCCAATTCTTTTTTTTTTTTTGTTTTTTTTTTTTTTTTTTTTCATTTTTCTTTTATTATTCATATGTGCATACAAGGCTTGGTTTATTTCTCCCCCCTGCCCCCACCCCCTCCCTTACCACCCACTCCCCCCTCCCCTCCCCCCTCAATACCCAGCAGAAACTATTTTGCCCTTATCTCTAATTTTGTTGTAGAGAGAGTATAAGCAATAATAGGAAGGAACAAGGGGTTTTGCTGGTTGAGATAAGGATAGCTATACAGGGCATTGACTCACATTGATTTCCTGTGCGTGGGTGTTACCTTCTAGGTTAATTCTTTTTGATCTAACCTTTTCTCTAGTTCCTGGTCCCCTTTTCCTATTGGCCTCAGTTGCTTTAAGGTATCTGCTTTAGTTTCTCTGCATTAAGGGCAACAAATGCTAGCTAGTTTTTTAGGTGTCTTACCTATCCTCACCCCTCCCTTGTGTGCTCTCGCTTTTATCATGTGCTCATAGTCCAATCCCCTTGTTGTGTTTGCCCTTGATCTAATGTCCACATATGAGGGAGAACATACGATTTTTGGTCTTTTGGCCAGGCTAACCTCACTCAGAATGATGTTCTCCAATTCCATCCATTTACCAGCGAATGATAACATTTCGTTCTTCTTCATGGCTGCATAAAATTCCATTGTGTATAGATACCACATTTTCTTAATCCATTCGTCAGTGCTGGGGCATCTTGGCTGTTTCCATAACTTGGCTATTGTGAATAGTGCCGCAATAAACATGGATGTGCAGGTGCCTCTGGAGTAACAGTCTTTTGGGTATATCCCCAAGAGTGGTATTGCTGGATCAAATGGTAGATCGATGTCCAGCTTTTTAAGTAGCCTCCAAATTTTTTTCCAGAGTGGTTGTACTAGTCTACATTCCCACCA